TATCCTCAGCTCCATTCCTTCATATTTAAGGGTGAAGCATTACAAAGCTGATTGACCTACCTGTTTGGGTAGAGTTTGCCAAGTGGTGAACCTCTGAGGTGACTTGGCAGGGATCAATTATATTTGGTTGGAATATCCCAAGATGTTACTGTTGGCCTTTTTTTCTCTAAGACCATTTTCTTAATGTGAAGAATGATCTTTTTTTGAGAATGGGGCCAAACAGAGTGGTATGATGCCAGGAGGCTGGACATCCTCACAGTTCAGTATGTAGGCTTATGTTTCATTTTCTTTTTTATGTATGACACCTCTTTCTCACCATCTCCTGTGCCTAAAGTCCTAGTCCGAGAGCCTCTTAGATTCTTTTCTCCATGGTAAATGCTAACCCTCTACTGTTGGGGTGGAGGAATGGGAGCTATGGGCTGGATTGCAGTTGCCTGGCTGAATGTACAGTGGCGCCGACCAAGGAGCTAAGTGGGAAGGTGATTCTGGTCCCATACCTCATTCTCTATCCTAAAGAGATCTGATGCTTCTAATCTGAGCTTTCTCACTGTTTAGTATTTTTTAGTTACTGCTATTCTTTCTTTCTCTTTATTCATCATTTGCTTTTAGATTTTACATTTTGAGAGGAAGCAGAGGCAGCTATATGTATTCAGTTATCCATGTTCAACAGGAAGGCTCTTGACATACTTTGTATGCCCTAAAATAGCAGTTGGTTTCTCCAGAGTATGTCAACACTTGTTCAAACCCCTAGCTTTAGTTAAACTACAGAATTACTTGCTCTGATATTTTTATTGATTTATCTCTTTCTTTTTAATAACAGTGTATTTCTAACTCAGGGAATATAGTTTATATCACATGAAAATAGAGCTGAGCTACACAGAAATGTTATTAATAAAGTGACTACTACCACATCTTGAGCAGGAAATATTTATTGATGACTTCTCTACAGCAGATGTCTCCTGTTTGCTAACAGGCTGGCTAAGCCATCTGCCTCTTTAATTTCAACAGTAGTTATCAGAAAAGATTTGATGTATAACATGCCATTGAAATGCAGGAAACTGCTGAGGCACTGGGGGCAGCACACTGTATTCCAGTAAGATAAGGCGTTTCCACTGTGTTCACAAATGTTTCCTGCTACACAGTTGGCACTTGGTATCCTAATCAGCGCATGAAATAAGCTAGCTTAAAATGTCTTCTTTTCCTTCTGGTGTTTTGAAACCATTTATCCTGTCTGCATGTTTAGTAGGTAGATGTAATGTTTATAGACCTTGTGGTTTTACCTTATTAGGCTTTGTCCCTTTTTTTTTTTTTTTCCAGACATTCATCTTAATTCAGTTTGCAAGTGAGATGTTA